CACTTAGTCTTCCTTGGGTCATGGTGGTTCTTCGATAATTCATCAGTGCCAATTTGCGAAATGATGTCTCTCCAGGAACAACTAGTTATCAACATTCTAAGAGCTACATTATCACTTGGAAATGTACCTGGAAGCCCTTCATCATGGAGTAAATATGTTTGTTGAGATGGAGTGATCCATGACTTGAGCTTGGCAAAGGCTGCAAACTGGATAGTTTGGATATGAACACCTTATTGAAATCATGAGGGAAAGCAGTGATCAGTATGGATAAACTCGGGGTCGGTCTGATCTTGAGTTCGCCTGAACCCGGATAGAAGCTTTCAGTGGCCTACTCAACTGTGGCTGGGGCATTCCCCACCCCTTAGCTGCACGTAAAAGAACGAGATGCTGGTGATATCATTGACTTTATATGGCCACATGGCCAAATTAGGTCAATGTCATTAGGGTGTTACTTAGATTACTTAGATTAAGGGATACAAAGTCACCAGCACTCCAGACATGTAATTGCATCTTACAGATTTGTTGTGAAGAATATACACTGCCTGGCCAAAATAAAGTCACACACTCTAATGTTTCATTGGACCACCTTTAGCTTTGATTACGGCACACATTCACCTTAGCATAATTTCCATAAGCTTATGCAATGTCACAACATTTATTTCCATCCAGAGTTGCATGAATTTATCACCAAGATCTTGTAGTGATGATGGGAGAGTTGGACCACTTTGTAAAGTCTTCTCCAGCACATTCCAAAGATTCTCAATGGGCTTAAGGTCTGGACTCTCCAATCCATGTGTGACAATGATGTCTCATGCTCCCTGAACCTCTCTTTCACAATCTGAGCCCGATGAATCCTGGCATTGACATTTTGGAATATGCCCAATGTGCCACCAGGGAAGAAAAAATCCATTGATTGAAAAACCTGGTCATTCTGTATATTCAGGGAGGCAGATAATCTTATTTTCGGGGACATAACGTTGCTGAATCTAGACCTGGCCAACTGAAGCAACCCCAGACCATATCACTTATCCAATGGAAGCCTCTTACCTATTTGCTCAGCTAAATCCAGGTGGTGACTTTTTTTGGCTTGGCAATGTATATAACAACATTTCAGGGTCTTGCAGGGTCCCTTTCTGAGGGCGACTTAAAGTGACCATTGTAGGTTGCCTTGAGAAAGAGACCTTGTGAGGGGTTTTGGCACGGCACCATTGATTGTTATTACTTCAAGCACTCACCTATTAGTCGAAGGTCTAGTACCCTCAGGAGTGTAGCTTCATGTACTGTATGGAGTAAATCGGGGTGATACTTAGGGTGCCACACATTGTGCGTTTATAGACTCTAGTGACTACACATGTAGATTTTTTGTTTGCGGGAAGTGATGACAAAACCACAGTGCTCACAAATAATCATTGAGCTTTATTTAAAATTTGAAAGTACGCTGGAAAAGAATAGTTCATATAGTATATACAATGAAATGTGCAGATTATAAACAATGTGCTTGAAGTACTTAAAAAACACCTGTGATAAAATATCTGGACTGCCTTTGCTGACTCCCCCTGGAAAAGATTGTAGGCTTGTCACGCCGGTCCAATTGTTGTGGAATTCAATTAAGACTACTTGTCTTAAGGTGGGACAATAAGGGTGTCCTTGTTATAATGTCCACCATAGATATACAACATGTCAGATAGAGAAGAGCCTTTGACATATGCTACCTGGTGGTCATGGACATAAGACATTCACACATTCCTGTTGTAGTTTCCCCGGGAGGTCTTGGAGAGTTCATGACACAGATTTGAACCAAAAGAAAATATGGATATTTATTTGATATTTAGGAAACATTGTTTTACACAATGGCTTCAGTGCTTTAGGTCACTGGACAAAACACAAGTCTGCACACGCTGTAAATTCAATTGCTGCATTTTTTACCCTGGCTGGCAATATTTGACAATTTTTCATTTGAAGTCTGTCAAGCCTGGTTGGCCCTTGGCCTTCCTATATGTCTTAGATACTCCAATAGGAAGATCTGCAAGCCATAGTTTGTGATTCTGCTCCTATCCACCTGGGAGTTGTGGGTGTTCCTGCCGGTCTTTGTGTGTTCTAGCTCCTCCTGTTAAATTACCCATGTAGCGGAGTGCCTCTTTAACCAGATTCAGGTGCAGGTGCCTTTAACTCAACTCCCCACAATCCTCTGGGCTCCCAGCATCCCCTGAGCTCCTGGACATGCCCAGGGTATAAAAATGCCAGCTCCTCCCAGCTTCCTGTGCTCAGAGAGACCACGCCTGATGGGACAGCAGTGACTTGGCAAGTAAGGTGTCACCAGGTGCTGGGTCCTCCCTTGTTAAGTTTGGTGTGCGGGCCACCAGCAGTGAGCACAAGAGCACACAGCATCTGTCTAGGCCTCAATCACTGGAGAGGACTCTGTTACAGTCCATTTAGAGAAGCTGCCCATGCAGTGGGGTGGCCCTATCTACAGCCACCAGAACCTCCTGACCGAAGCCAGCAGCAGCAGTGCCAGTGTGACGTCTGTGCCAGCAGATCCACTCGGCTAACAGTTTGTTGAACTAACGATTCTTATTTCTGGACACGTGAGATTCTGTATCTCCCTTTCCTCTCATTAAGCTGAACTGAACTCAGAACACTCTGCTGCCATCTAGTGGTCATTTGCAGAACTGCTGCAGAATTGTTTTCATATGTTCTCCCAAGCCTGTTTCCATTATTGTTGATATTACTGCTCTGTATTGCACTCCCCTGTTCATTTGATTTCCCCTGTGCAATTTATGTTGATTTTCGTTGTTTAGTAAAGTACAAATTGCACATCACCCCTGGTCTGATCATTTGGCTGATACCGTTACACAACACCCATAATATAAGTAAAAATCCAGCAGAAATGACGGTAGCCCCTCATACCAGGGGTGCAGACCTGTGATCTCACCAATAAATCCCCAAAAGAAAGAAGAAACTGTCAGGGGGGGATCTCCCCAAAAGACTTACTAAGACACAGAAGAAACAGTCAGGGGGTTTAAGTCTCCACCATCTACCAACGAATGTACATGCAGTTCTGCAGGACGAATGGCTCTGCAAATTGTATATCAATGCACCCCTAAATTTTACAAATTTTCACAAGAGCAAGGGCTCAGAGGAAGTTGGTTGAATATTCCTGGCCATCATTCATCATGGAAGACTGAAAACATCTTGTGGTGGAAATTAAGTTCTGGGGAGCGGGGCCGCTCTTGAAGGTATTTATTGCAGCAAAAGCAGGTTTTTTATTTTACCTTTGAATTGGCTATTAGTTCATTTTTTTGGTTGGAGTTTTGTTTTAGGTCACTGGAAACCGAGCTCTTTATTAAAGTTGCTTCCTTTATCCTAGTGGTGAAATTGTCCATTAGCTGTACGCTGCTTCCATGTGTGAACCCAGCCTGCATTGCAATCTGCTAACGACACCATGTTGGATTCTAGGTGAAAGGTAAAAACATGGACTGGACGACTCCTCATGATTGGCCATGTTTCCTACAGCCTGTGAGTGACTGTTGCTTCTATGTCCCATGAGGACTGTCTGTGTCATGTCCAATCTCCATATCGTTGTACAGTCTCTGCGTCCAGATTGATTGGAAAGTATTTCATTCTTTAGAAAAATTCTGATCACAATGATGTCAAGCCACAGACAGCTAACCGAATATCTCCAACTGAACATTCACAGTGGACGTTTCAGTTCTAGGAAACAAAGTGAAATTCCAGTTTAATAGGTAAAGAACAATCCCTTCCTACTCAACAAACCCTTACCCCGACCCTCAAACCTAAAGGATAAGTGACCCAACCTAACCCACCCTCCCCCTCCACAGATGCACACTTAAATTCACTAGTGATGAGCTCAGGTTCAAACTGAACCTGCTCCGAACCTGAGCTCCTCTGAACATGGAAGGAAGCTCCTTCCACTGCCACTCAATTAGCTACAGCCAGGGAATTCCCCACCTGCCACTCAATCAGCTACAGCCAGGGAATTCCCCACCTGCATGTAAGTAAAGGGGTGGGATGCTCTGGTGTCATTGACCTTATATGGCCACATGACTATATATAGTCAATGCCATTGACCTAATATGGCCATATGGCCACATAAGGTCAAAAAATCAACACAAGCATCCCACCTCTTTGTTTATGTGCAGCTTCAGGATGGGGAATGCCCTGGCAGGTAGACCCATGGCACTTCCAGGTTCAGAGAATCTCAGGATTGGTTTGGGTTCAAATTTGAATTCATATTGAGTCTGCACTTTCTTGGCTGTGCCTGCACATTACAGCCCCATAGACTTCTACGGGGCCATCTCATATCTATAGAAGTCTATGGGGCATTAATGCGCCGGCACGGGCAGGACAGTGAAGAATTGTACCGCCGGATGTAAACAAACAGCAGAACTGTGGCCATCAGATCGAGGTTAGTATGCATCTGTGGAGGGGGGGTTAGTTTACTTCAGAGGAAGGGGGCAAAAAAATAAAAGCACTTTGTTTTAAAGTACACCCATACAATGTAATGTATAGATATCACAGCAACACATTTCGTCGAAAATTCAATGTTGGTCGACGCGGGGCCATTCCCAGGCGCAACACGGTCCTCAGGTGGGTTGAACATTTCAGAACAACCAGAAACATTATGAACAAGAAACCACCAGGCTCTGCTAGGACGCCGGAAAACATTGCACAGGGGAGAGAGGCACTGCTTAGGAGCCTGGGGCGGTCTGCTCGAAGTCATGCAAGTGAGTTAGGGTTGAATCGTGAATCAGTGAGAACCATTTTACAGAGAGATTTCAGATTCCATCCATAAAAAATGCAGGTTGTTCAACAGCTCCATGTGAGAGATTACGAGCAACAAAAAGACTTTGCTGTGCGAATGAGCGTGATCTTGGTTCTCACTGATTCACGACTCAACCCTAACTCACTTGCATGTCTTTGACTTTTTTCTTCACTTCTTCATCCATCAGGAAGTCAGCCAACATTTCAAAAATGATTACCTGCTTGGTTTCCTTGTCGTCCATTTCTATGGACTCGTTGTCTGTTTTCAGAATCAACATTTCCTTCTCTCTGTAAAATAATAAAGAAAGGTGAGAAGAGACGGAAGCAGCAGAGACTGTAGACTGCGTCAGAAAAAAGAGGCAAACTCCGGCCTTCCCTTCAGGCTTGCACAATTGTTCCGGCTCCTCTCCTGGACTGAAATGCTTCCTCTGATTTCACTGCACACGGGGAGCTTCTCATAATGTGAATTTTAAGCTGCAGCGAGTCATTTCCTGGCTGGAGGATATCCAGCATTATCTAGCACTTTCCTCCCCAATCTGCCCAACCCTGGCCCCGCCCCTTTCCTTCTTTGGATTCCAGTTCTTTCAATCACAGAGGCTCAGCATCACACGTGGGTGTTACCTAGACTGGTCTGCATGCAAATGCACCCTGTCTAGGAACACCCACTTCTCCAGATTGACATCCACCCATCAAAGCATTTTGATATTTGCATAACTCCTCCCAAGTTCCAGCCCACTGCTTGCGCCAGGGCTGAGGGCTCCTGAGTGAGCTGTGATTTTTTTTTCAGGAGGCTATATGCAGCATCCTGCCAGCCCCTCCCACCAGCTATGATCTGCCTAGAGAAAACCAGAGGCCCAGTGATGACATCACTTGGTGTAAAATAAGGTATGGTATGAAAATGTCATTGATGGGAGAAAGGAGGAGTGAGAAAAAGTAAAATATAAGCAGATTAAACTTCAGCCTGAAAGATCATTAAATGAACAGTTTCATCCGCATGGTTCACTTTATGGTCCATCAAGCTGGGAATTGCTGAAATGGCTTCCCAAAGAGTAACAACATTCATCTCTTGAGAGGCCACTTCAGCACCCTTAATGTATATCCAAAGGCAAAACTTTGTTTTCTACTTATGGATAGAGAGGGGAAGTGTAAAAAAACACTTTTACAGTTCAGGGGGATGGGGTGGGTGGGGTGAGGGGGAGAAAGGGAATATGGGGAGTGTCCTCTCACTGGCACTGAACGGCACTCCATGCAGCAGTACAGGACAACCTGGGCTCAGAGAAACCGTCCTTCAACCAAGAAGACTGAGGACATCTAATGGTGAAGAAGCATTACTGCAGGGGCAGCTCTGGGTCGAAGGTTAGTATTGCAGGCAAGGGATATAATGGGGACCAGGATATGACCTGTGCAACAGAGCCCAGGGCAAACCGTGTAATAAATATAAAAGAATAACAGGGGTGTACTTACTTTTTCCAATAGAAGAGTCCAACGATGGTTCCGATCAGCAGTAAAATGCATGCTACCGCAACCCAAAAGATGACTTTATATGTGGAATCTGCTCTGTCTATGTAGAGAGGGGGTGATCAGGTAAGGGGAGAGAGAAGGAGATAAGATGTGTGAGATACGGATGGAGTGATTGCGACACACAGATTAAAGTCCTATTAAAGTCAAAAGGTTTTTAAGCGATTTCAAAAGCTGATTACATCACTAAGAATGGATGGTGCTCCTTAATGTTTAAAAATGTTAGATTCCTGCAGAGTCAGCTGGTCCCCTGAACACTGACTCTGATATCCTGTTTCAGGGCGACTCCTTTCCCATGCAGGGTCCTATGGAGCCACCCTTGTGTGTGTGTCTGCACAAATATACAGGGACAGCATGACACCCACTCCCCTCCTCCCCCTTCCCGTCTCCAAGCTGGTATATAGACGGCTGCGGGGAAACTGACTCTTCTGTCCCTTGTGATCTGGTACTGGACAAGAAGTTCAGGGAAGTCGAGCTGAGAGAGTTGGAGCTGTTTGGGAACATGATGATTGTAAGAGCTGTGGCAAAATGCTAAGAAATACCTTTCTGGGTGATGTCCATTTGTCTGACCTGGGTTGATTATTGAAAAAAGGTTGAGAGTTTAATACTTTTCTAAAGGAAACCTGTAATGATGGAAATATAAGGGTGTCATTGCCGACCTCCTGAAAATCTGAAAATGCTTCCCAGCTGTCTCTGGCTTCAATACACTTTGAGTCACTGACCGGGAACAAGCATGCAGCTTAGAAAGTCAGAACTCCTGATATGCGTCCTTCTTCCAGGTCTATGCCTCAGGGGAGGAGTACTGGTTAGAACAAAAAAACAGAGGCGTCCCCAAATAAAAAAGAGTCCAAAGGAGTTTTTATTGGTGACAAACTCATAAAGGGAATGGAGGACCAGAGCTATGAGACACGGCTACTAAATTTAAACATGTTTACGTTGGAAGTAAGAAGATTAAGGGGGGACATGATTTTCATGTACAAGATGTTCTATAGTCATAGCGACATTAGCAACAAACTCTTCGAGATTAATTCCGTAACAAAGACTAGAGGACACCACCTAAAACTGGTAGAAAAAAAAATTCGAACACAAGGGGCGGAGGGGGTTCTTCTCAGTTCGCGCGGTTAGGGTCTGGAACTCGCTGCCTCAAGCGGTAATTTCCGCAATTAATCTGGAATCATTCAAGAGGCTTTTGGACGACTTCCTGAGAGACCAAAATGCACAAGGGTACAGGTACTCATGGACCTACACACACACACACACACACAACAGGTTGGACTTGATGGACTTATGTCTTTATTCAACCTCAAATCAGTGGCGTAACCAGAGTTATGGGCACCCGGGGCAGAACATTTTTTTTCGCCCCCCCCCATATTATATAAACATCCACTAGAACTGTACCCCCCACCCCCACACATATATATCAGCCAAGGAACTACAAGTCCAAGCATGCCATCATTGTCCCTGTAC